TGGCTGACTCTTAACTTTTATAAAGAATATCTCTTTGGATTTGAGACTTTAGTCTTTGCAACTTTACAGATCTTCTTTATGCACCAAGAGCTTGTAACACTCCAAAGAGAAAGGAAAAATTGAAATCGCATCATATGACCCCTTTAACAGAACCTAAATGGCAATAGCCTATTTTTAAGTATGTTTTGCACTATAAAAGCCTGATAATTATACAAGTGAAACAGCAATATAAGCAAATGCAAATAACCTGAAAGGCAGCCTATAGCCTAGCAAAAATGCAAATTTACTGCTTTCTTACTCTTAGCAATCTCATATGAAATCTAAATGTTATTTTGAATTTTGAAAGTGGTCTATAAATAGTTTACATTTATGGCTCATAATATAGCTTAGCTAATGGACTTTTTTTTTTTTAGAATGGTTCAATTATCTTCCCATATTCAGGGAAAAAAACAGGAAAAAAATGTCTAACAGTAAACAGAAAATTGGGCTTCACAGCATTGAATAAATTCAATATAATCAGATTAAAATTTGACAGTATAGCAGACTCAGAACAGATCAATCAATACCTGACCTCCATGAGAAGCAGAAATTGACATCATGTCCAAACTGTAGTCGACTAAACAAAATAAAGCTGTTCAGTCATGACGACATTTTGTAGACCAACCTAAAGATTAATTCACCATAAATTCACTCTGGAATTTCCTGCGGGTGCTCAAGTGAAAAAAGCACCTCTCTGATAGCCTAATTATTACATACTGTTAACCATAACATTTTGAGTATAGAAATAAATGTTGGAACAAATGAAATTATAGTATTACATATATGTAACCTAACTAAACCCACGGCAAGTCTAAATAAGTGAATCGTGGAATCATTTATTCAACCAATTCATTCAAACCAGTTCATTCGTTTTACATATATCAAATCATTTTCTCCAGGTGTGAAATGAGGTTTCCAGTACTGATGCTTTTCCTCCATTTCATTCAGTTCTGGACATTACTCTGTGAGTTCCTTCAGATCTAGATGGGGGACATAAATTAAAAAATTGCATAATATCATATAACCGTCCTGATCATGGGAGAAAAATAAAAATAAAAAGAAAGGAAAAAAGAAAAGCCTCGTTAAATTTTTTTTTTCTTGAATTGAAAACCTTATTTGGCCATGTTATTGATCCTGTTATTATTACGGTTTCATTCTTTAAAAAAAAACAAACACTTGTTTTCATATCTCCTTCCCTGCAATATCATACTTTCAAAATAGTTTGTAATAGTGTATTATCTTTCAAGGGATATTCTCCTCATCACTGTCATCGGGTTGAAAGGTAATATTCTCTAAGGTTTTTTTTGGAACAGTACTTATTTGTGAAAAAACCATAGAGATTAACTAAATTTAAAATGTATTTTATCAGGTTTTTCCATCAAACAGGACACAATTCAATAATATATTTTAAATCAGCAATAAAATATAAGATGACTGGTATTATAAATGATTCTTATCCCCAAATAACACAAAAAAATCCCTATATTTCAGGTTAGTCCAGCTAAGGTGCATGTGCAATGT